TTTGGAAGTCACTTCCAATGACAGTGCCAGTGGGCCTGGGCATTGCCCACATCTCCAACGGAAAGTGAATGTTCTTGGACTATGCAGTTATACCCTGGTCTGCCCTGATGGAACCGCCACACTTCTGGAGTTGGGGCTGGGATGGATGGGAGCATCCCTTACCCAGAATGCCAGAGATTCTATTTTTAACCCAAAGTTCAGGAGTTTATCAGTCATGAACACTTCTCAGTATTTTGTTGACCTTTGTTGGATTTCCAGGGAACTGAAATGGTTTTTGTCAATATTGTCCAGATTTATAGTTGCTTTTTGGGGAGAGGATTTGCCAGTCTTCTCTCTCTGCCATACCTGGCAGTCTGCTTATAATATTTTTAAAAAGATAAAAGACAGATTATTCTGGGCCATAATAAAAGATGCATTAGAGAAAGCAAGACTGGGCGCCCAAAAAGCAATGAGGAAGACTTGTAAAGGATTGGTAAAGGTAAGAGAATATGGTGCCTAAGTGAAAGCAGTGGTTATAAGGCTAAGGAACAGAGGGTTTAATGGAAAGAACTTCTTGAATCCTGATACAGTTTGTTTTCCATTTTACCATACTGCTGCTCACGGAGTGGGGAAAAGATTTTATGTTTAGTCAGGTATCAATCCTTGGTCTCCCTATCCCAAGGAAAAGTATCAAGTTGATCTTGTTGTAGGGTGAGCATAGTCTTCCTACTGGGACAGAATGCTTGGTGAACATGCACTGGCTACCATCTCCTCTCTGGGTTGGGTTGTCACATTTCAGTGGCCATTTTCAATCTGTTTGCATTATATCATTCTGAGCTGCCCAGAGTCTTGAGTTTTGATTCCAGTACCTAGTCATTTTCTTCTTCACTATTTTTCCTTGACCTTAAAACTTCTATTTGATCAGGCAGCAGCCACCCAAAATTGCCTTAGGATATAGTCTTATCCTTGACCATCTTAGCTGAACCTTGGAGCCTTCCCAAGGTGGTTTTTTAACTGGCCTATCTGTAATGAGAGCTGGTTTTGATCATGTTGAAGATATGATAAAGCAAACAAACTTTTATAGGGTGTGAAAAAAACCATCAGACCCACTAATTTTTACTGTAGAATGTAGGCTAATGGTTTAAGTCAGTTAATAGTACAGTTCTTTGCCATTTTGGTATCTTCCTTCACAATCCTGTTCCCATTATCTCCACTTTTTCAATTGTTGAGTGCCGCATCATTTAGATATTTCATTCCAGTTTATACTACTGTTGGATAAGACGTATTCATTTAGCAATCCTATACTGAGCACTTTCTAATCATCTGGCCAACATCATTATCATAGCTAATATTTGAGTATTTTAAAAATGAATTTTACATAGCTTTATCTCATTTAACCTCACACTAACACTAAAGTAAGTACTAATACGGGCTGTATTTCATATCTGAGGAAACTGAGAGTTAATATCTTACCCAGAACTCATAGTTTGTAAGTGATAAAGGCATGATTTGATCCTAAGCTAGTTGATTCCAAAATGTCAGTTTTTAAGTATTATTCTATCCTGCCTGGTAAAACAGACAATTCAACATAAAACCTTAACAATTGGAGAGAATTATAAAGTAGCCAGTGATATTGTGTTAGTACTTCTAATGAAGAAGAAATAGAAAAAAGAAGGAAAATCAAACTAAAAATTGATATCAGTGGAAAAGTACGTAAAGTATATTCCAACAGAGGACATTTGAGATCTGTCACTAGAAGAACAATTGAGGAAGTCGCAAGAAGAACGAACTTACAAAGTAGTTACAGACAAAGACGTTTCCATGTATTTATTCCTTATTGTCATCCGGTAGTATGCTAAGAATATACACCTTTAAGCAAATGCCCAGATTGCAAGGATGTAATCCAGGGTACTATTCATACATTTCCATAATAAAGAAAACCCAAACTGGTAGATGAATTTATATAGAAACACCTTTAAAATATTGTTGAACAGTTGATGCTATCTGAAGTTAAGATGTAGGTTCTTAAATTAGTAACATTTGTGTTCTACAGTGTTTTGGTTCTAGTATCTTGTTTTCAAAAAAGTAGACAGTATTATAGATTATAGTTAATATTCTTTGCCTATTTGCAGTAGAAAACTTGCCTGTGATGAATATTTTTGTATTTAAGGCGGTGGAGATGGTATATTAGTATATATGTTTGAACATATGAGGAATAAAAGTGCTATTCATACAACATTTCAGGAAGTAATAAATTTGGTACTCTTTCTGAAAGCTTTGAGTACTCTATCATATTATACTTTAAAAGAACTGAGAACAAGGAACCCTTGAGTTTGTTAGAGTCATAGGTGCAAATTTTTTTTGGTGCTTTTCACTATTCTGGTATAAAATAGGAATTTGTATTTTATTGCCATTGATTAAAAAAACCTTTTCTCTAATTTGTGAGAAACATCTTAATAAAACACTTTAAAAAGAAAAAAATGTATAGATTACATCACTGTTCTACTCACAGTACTCCAGTGGTTTCTTATTCTAGGTCTAAACTCCAAAGGTATTATTACCGCCTCTCTGACTTGACGTAATCTGGTTCCCAACTAACTTTCTGACCTTTTTTCTTTCCTTACTTCCCCTTACTGACTTTGTTACAGCCACATAGGTAGAATTCTTAAGGGTTGTGGGAACACACCAAGCATGTTTCTGTCTCAGAGTCTTTAACTTCTTCCATCTGCCAGGAATATCCTTTTCTCAGCCCCATGGCTTGCTCCCTTAATTCATTCAGGTCACTGTTATATGACATCTCATTAGAGAGGCTTGCCCATGCCTATGGTATCTAAAATAGTGTCTCCCCACCCCCTCAACCAATCTCTGCTCCTATGTGGAGCAGAGACTTTGGTGATTGTTTTTTACTCTATTCTCTTCTAGAATGTAAGTTATAGAACCAGAGGCTTTATCCGTTTTATTCTTTATTTAGCCCGAGAGCCTAGAATGGAGCCTGGCACACAGTGAATGGATGGATGGATGGCTAGATGGGTAGATGGATGATGAATTGTGGAATGTGTGGCTTTTGTTTGAAACAGAGATTTGTGATTATTAGACATAATGATAATTTAATTGATTCCTTACATCTTTCTAGCTCTTTACCATTTTCAGTGATTTTATGTTCACTTTGCCTCATTTCATCCATTTAATGGCCCTCTGAGGTAGGCAGAAAGCTGTAGTCATTATCCCTATTTTATATATTAAAAATGTGAGACTTAACTTAGACCCTTGCCCAAGGACACAGGGCTAACAAGTAAAAATCTAGGTAATAACCTAGACCTTTCTCTCTCTGACAGATGTTATTATCACTGTCCAAAGCTATCACCTATGGAAGACAGAATCTTTTACTGAGGAAGGTGATGAAATCCCCTTCTCTACAGTTTTATAAAGCAAACAAACCTAGTGTTTATAGTATACATCAGGGGAGCTCCAGGGCTACCTGATGATGAAGAGCCTTGCTGAGTCAACTTTATTCCCACGTTAGGTTTTTAGTTAAATTTTGTTGACTAGTGGGGAGAAAATAAATTAGAGCAGAAAAATATCGAAATACATATTTTGACAGGGAAAGAACCTCTCTTGAGTTTTGGAACTGAAAACGATTTAAGGTCATCCCTCAAATTATAACACTCCTCTTCCTTCACATTCCTCAGGTGATTAAACTTCAAACCAAGAGGACAGATTTATTGCCTGTGGTCACCACAACTGCTTATATATGCCCAGCACTGTCAGTTTTTAAGTTATGCTTTGTGCTGGAGGCCCTGTTAAAGTCTATGAGAGTGCCAGTTTTTCCTACTTTTGTATGTCAAATGTGGTAAAAGACAGTCTTCCACAGTCAGTAGCTCTAGTATATTATTCCTTAGTTCTTCCATGTATCCCGTTATTCTGACTCTTGACCTTCCTCTTAGGAGGCTCCAGGTGTCAGGCAGGAGGGGCTCTCATCCTCTGTCTATCTCCTATACCAGATGGTCACTACTTTAGGACATGGACCATCTTTTTCATCTTTGTACATTTATGTCAACAGTATCAGTCTTACTGAGCACAAAGTAGGTGCTCTGAAAATACCTGAAACTATTGAATTACATCAGTATATATTAAAAGATCCCCATTGCCTCTCTGGTTCTTTGCTGACCAAATGATAGAATCATTTGGTCTCTATCAAAAATCTCATGTTTTGGAGGCATTTTGTCTCTTAATTCTGTGTAATAAACAGTAATGGTATGCTATTTTTGCCTGGACCTGCCCTAAAACCTGCCACTCTTGGCCCAGCTCTGTTACAGTTTGCATGGGGAAATCAGGTTGTCACAGATTGTGAGCAGATCTAATTAGTGATAAGTTCCATTCCAGGGTAGGGCAGAAGCTTAGGGAAATAGTATCCAGTCTGGGGAGAAATTCATTGTTCTCTTTAGACAACATGATCCTGATGCTGATGTTCTTTATCTTCAGGTTGAGGTAAAGACCCCTGGTGACATAACGGGTCCAGGAAATTTTTGCAAAGAGAGGAAAAGGACAGGGCAAAAGCCTGTTTAGACTGCCATTTACCATATCAGGAGAGAGTAAGAAATTATAATGATGAATTTTGAAAAATTGGAAACTTTTGATCCCTTCCCTACATTTCATACTTTATTTCCTATTCAGTATGGAGAGCAAAATTCATAGAATAAGAAGGTACTGTGAGCTTGTCTTCAAGGGTTGGGTTGGGGGAGAGGCAGGTAGAAAAGCTGTAAGCTAGCTTCCCATTCACAGTTAGGCTTTGGGTGGGAGAAGGAAGCTCCAAGGGATTGAGTGGATAGTGATGGCTAAGAGAAGAGGGAGAAACAGATTGAGTTTCTGAGACTAGCTACACGGAGGTGAGAGCTTGGAGGCTAATGTGGATTTCAGAAGGGGTATCAGGTTGGGGTTTCTCCCTGGGGGGTTTGGTGATCCTGATAGTTAAGTTCCATGGCAGCTGGACCAGATGCATCTTGCTTTTCTTCTTTGCACAGAATGTGAAGGCTGTGTCTGAGACTCCTGCAGTGCCACCAGTTTCAGAAGATGAGGATGATGATGATGATGATGCTACCCCACCACCAGTGATTGCTCCACGCCCAGAACACACAAAATCTGTGAGTCTTTGGGACCTGAACAGTTGTGTGATTTATTAGAGTAAGTGGGGAGAGGGAGGAGTTGGTGCTAAGACCTAGAAATTTAATATTCTGGTAGGGGTCCTCAGATTTTGGAGCTGGTGAAATCACTGAACTACCTTGACTAAAGGTACTTTCTGTATGATTAAAGACAAAAAATGGTGTATTTATTTATCATCGGTTTGCAGATAGTCCCAAAGTGTCCTATGTAATTGATGTTTATACCAATCCAGTCTTGGTTTGCTTAGCCTGTTCTCCACAGATAGGACAGGAAGATATACAGGATTGATGCTACTTAGTGCAGGACAAACATAAATTATTCCAGTCTCCAGGGAAGCAACAAATTGTCTTGCTACAGATCTTTTCTTCTCTGTTAAATATGCACCATTGAGCCTCTTAGAGCATTATCGATAATACTGAAAGACCCAAGAGAATTTATAAATACATTAGCGCTATTAATATGCTGGGCATCAGGAGTGCATTTTGATGCCGGATGTTGGCAGTGATTTCTGTTTAACTTTCTTTGAGGTTCCTGCATCTGAGAATAGCCATAGTCCCTCTACCCTTGCTTTGAAAAATCTAGTCCCCGTGCCTTTTACTTAATTTGGCATCACTGAGCACTGACCTGCCATCAGATGATACTCTACTAGTGTTTCTTTGTTTAGGTCCATAATGAAGAAACCATCTAGCACTTCTGTGATCTTGAAAATAAATAAATAAATAAATAAATAAGGGCTACCTCTGGAATACGGCATTTAGGGAGGTGTTCGAACAGAAATTGGTTGAGTGACTATTGGAGATGCTGTGGAGGAAATTCAAAGGAATTATATGACCTTTTAAGATGAGAACTTATAAACAGAATCTGTGGAATCATTTTCTCTGTAGGTCACAAAGTTACCTTAAGGGAAAATGGGCTTCAAAATTGGAGAGTTGTTAACACTGATATGTTTTTTTTTATTTGTAGGCATGTTCATTTAAAACATTTTTTTCCCCACTAAACCATGAACACCTCAAAAAGTAGAGGAAATCCATATATATGTATTTCTAGTGTTTAACATAGTTCTTGGCACCTGCAGAGGTGGGTAAATATCAGAGGACAGTAAATATTGAATTAATTAATTAATTAATTGATCTTCATAGCGTTTCTTTCTAAAAGGGTATTGTTAATTCCTAATTTATAGAAGAAGCATCTGAGATTTGGAGAGGTGAATTGATCTGCCCAATCTCTTAGTAAACTAAAGAGCCAGGATTTGAAAGCAGGTAATTAACGCCAACTCCAGGTTGTTTTCCACCATAGCACAGTGGTATTTTTGTGTGTACAAACCTGTGCTAGGAGCCAGAGAAGGAGACTATTAGAGAAGGAAAAGGCAAAGTTTCTGTCTTCAGAGAGACATATCAAGACAGTCAAAAGAGGACAGGGCATGAAAGTATAGGTTTAGATACCTGGGATATAGTTTGTCTACAGGTACAAGAATAGAAAATTGAGAAATCATTATACTAGAGTAGTAATCAGGAAAGAAACCATCACCTCTGATCTCAGTGTCTTGGCTTATTGCTGTTCCCACTACTGGAAAGTTCTCTCCCATTTCCACCTATTAAAAGCCTCTCCAGTCAAAAGGTAGCTTGGTCAAGCAGTCGAAGGTGCAGGATTTAGTAGGCTTTAGTCTCTGTGGAGCCATGGGTTTGAGTCCCACTGCTGCCAATGGCTTTGCATCATCCAGATAAATGATCATCATAGATAAATGATCCTCCATTCTTTGCAGGAACCTATCCATCCTTCAGGATCTAGCTGCAGGATCCTGTTTGTTTATTTATTCCATCAAATATTTACCTGAATGCTTGCTTTTTTTTAGTAAGTGGTTAGATGGAGAAACTCAGGGATCAATGACCCACATTCCCTGTCCTTATACAGTTTATGGACTATCCAAAAGATAATTGTGATATTTTTATGATAAAATCTGATAAATACCTTGAAGCATCTCCTAGGAAAAAGTATAACTTATGATCACTTCTGTACCTCAGTAGTATATAGCTTGCTCATTTTTTTATAACGTGTATCACTTTCTGCCTTGTAGTTATGATTTTCTCACCTCCTTTATGAGAATGAGAGGATGGGGCAGCATTTTGTACAGGGTGAGGCAACAAGTAGATTCTCAGTAAACGTTATGTAAATTAATGAATAGGACATTTAATATTTTTAAAAGGTAAAGTTTGAGTGCTTAATGTCTGCTGGGGATGATTCTGATTACCTAACATATTAATCAGTTTACTCCTACAGCAACCCCAAAGATAAGTATCATTATTATCACCATGTTATAGATGAGGAAACTGAAACACAGAGAAGTTAAGTAACCTGCCCAAAGTCAGGCAGAAGGTAAGAATAAGAGTTGGGATTTTAGTTCAGGCAGTCAGGTCCCAGAGTCTATGTTCTAAATCACCACACTCTACTGTCTCTTGATGAAGAACAAAAGTAGTTCCTTCCCTGCAAGGGTTCAGGATGTAAGGAGGGAATAACTCAATAGAAGTTGGTGTTGTGCTAGTAATGCAAAGTGCTGTGGGAATACAGGATATTTCTTTTAGCTTGGGGAAGCATAAAATATTTTAGATGAAGGGGATCCTTATCTAATAGAATTGTCTTTAACTAATTTCTTTTGATAGTTGTCTAGCCTCTATTGAATATCTTTAGTGCTGAGACTCACTTCTTTTGTTTACAGTGAGTGTAAGGAAGGCCATTTTACCCAGAATGGATGGGCCTGGGCACAGAGGAGGAGTAATAGAGATTTTGACGTAGGAGAAAGGATGAATTTATTGGGGTTTGCTCTGTGGATGTTCTAACCTCACATCTAGGAGAGGTTCCCCTGTGCTGACAAAGGCTGGTCTTGCCAAAATTTTGTCCTAATAATGCAGGTATACACACGGTCTGTGATTGAACCACTTCCTGTCACTTCAACTCGGGACGTGGCTACATCTCCCATTTCACCTACTGAAAATAACACCACTCCACCAGATGCTTTGACCCGGAATACTGAGAAGCAGAAGAAGAAGCCTAAAATGTCTGATGAGGAGATCTTGGAGAAATTACGTAAGGAATTTGTCACTTTCTGAACCTTTCTTTGCTTTATGACTGGTCAAGCACAGAGATTTCCTGGTCGTAGGCTTGGTCCATGCAGCTGGCTGGCCATGCTTGGTACCTTAGCCTCAGACTGCTTCTCCACCCTGCCTCTGCACCTATGTTCCCCATCTCACAGCCCTGGTTGGATACTGTGTTAGGATGGGGATGTGGTGAGAGAGTGTAGATAGCTCACTTTGAGGGCAGGGTACCCCTCACCCCTAGGCATGTGTTATAGAGATGACAAATAGTTTTTCTCTAATGAATTGTCTAGAATGCCATGCTTGAGAAAGACTGAGGACCTAGTAGAAAAGGGCGCTGTGATTGATTATTGATGTTTTGCCATTGACCTAGGAGAAGACAGATCTGCCATCTTGGTTGTAGGAAAAGAGGGAAGGGAAGTTAACATTTTATGTATCAAATGACAAGCAAAATATTTTCTTGATTTTTAAAAAATTTAATTCTCTTATTAACCCTGAGAAGAAAAGTGTTGTGATCCTAATTTTTGCTATTAAGATAATCTGAGGCTCAGGGAGGCTAAATATCCTGCCCAAAATCACACAGCTAAAAAGTGACAGGGCTGAGGTTAGAACACAGTTTTTGTTCCTGTAAGTAGAGCATACTGCCTCTTGCTGTCAAGTGGAAACTTCCATTTTACTTTCTTTAGCTGCCAGAAATGGGGGTATGTTAGGGTAGCTTATTTCTGTGTTTCAGTAAACTGCAGGAGAATTCATATTAGAAGGAAGAACTAGGTTGATCTATGGGCTTGGAAGAATCATTTGACAAGGGCTTTAATTTATTCACTGTGTCTACTTACTTCCAAAAAGGATTCAATGTGACCGATTTGGCGACGTCTGCAAACTGGCATTGCTTTCTGGTTCTCTAGTTCTTCCTAATTCGTATATGACTTTAAAACAAATTTTCACTGTTTTAAAAATTGCCCTTTTCTGGATCCCTCATAAAATGACAAAGTAAGAAAAGCCACTTCCCTAGTCATCTGTTTACTCCTGTATGTAGTCTTCTTCTCTAAACCAGAGTTTTGTTTTGTTTTGTTTTTTTAACAATAACATTTAGAATTATGATTCAGAATTAAGACTTGGCCTGGGAGTTAGGATACTTGAGTTGAAACTTCTGCTCAGCCACTGACTTGTCTTAGGCAATTTTCTACTGTTCTCTAAACCTCATTTTTCTCATTTTTAAAATAGGGATGTTAATACTTGTCTCATTTGCAAATCAAATGAAGTAATATATGTGAAAAGTACCAATTCCTAGTAATTGGGTGTTAATGGAGAGTACAGTGGACCGGGAGACTAAAAATGAAACTCCTAATCTTAGCTCTGACACCAATTTGCTGTGTGACCTTGGGGAAGTATCTTCTTTCCTTCTGTGGGCCTCAATTTCTCCATCTCTAAAATACAAGTTGTAAAACCCAATGGAAAACCTCTATGTTGTTGCGCTTGAAATATTCTTTGTTGTAAACGTCTTCTCTACTTTATCTCTCTGGCTTTTACTTAAAGTAGAAATCAGTCCATATGTTACCTTTCTGAAGCTTTTCCAGTCTTTCTTTTTTTTTTTTTTTTTTTTGGTGCCTCTTTCTGTACCCCTTTGGTATTTATCACAGCAATTATGTTTTCATGGAACTTTATGCTTACTTATCTGTCTCCTCCATGAAATTGACCTTCTAGAGAGCAGGAACTGCCTTGACTGTGTCATATCTCTTCATTCCTAACACAACATATGGCTTGGTGCGTATTAAATGAGTAAATATTTACTGATTGTATTAATTAAAACATGAATGACTTTTAGGAGTTTAGAAATGGAATAGCTTGCTGTGAATCAAAGCAGTCAAGGTGATGAAACTTTTGGTTGGGACTTATGGGGGAAAAACTGAGGGCCTCTTTAGAATGCTTTTTGGCTATTGGAGGTAGTTCTTTAACCCATGCCAACTCCAGGGTTCGGGGAAATGTGGGACCTTTTTTGTATCTTGATTTTGGAAAAAATGATTCATGGTCTCTGTTTCTTTCAAAGGAAGCATAGTGAGTGTGGGCGATCCTAAGAAGAAATATACACGGTTTGAGAAGATTGGACAAGGGTTAGTAGGGGCATTTTCTTTCCCTGGAGAAATGACTTTAAAGTGTGTGTGCTGGCATATATGATTTTGCTTCTGTTTTGCCTCTCATAAACTTTGTTCTTCTTTCTCCACTTCACCCCTCACCCATCTGGAGTTGTTATGTTAGAATGACTTCAGATTTGGCAGAATTGCGCTTAATGTGAGAGATGTGCCATTAGCTGACCATGTGGCTAAAAATACCCCTGCAGTGACAGTGAGAGAACGATTTTTTTTCTTAGCACAAAGCCAGCTTCCCAAATTATAACTCTGCTTTTCTGGATGAACCCTGTTTGTCCTAGTACTGAGCTCCAACAGCACTAATATAAAATGGAAGACCCAGAACTACAAACCCTTCTACTAGTGTAATAGGACCTATTTTTCTAGGTAGATGCCGGAATATATCCATCTGGCATTCATCCTTCTCTGTATTTTGTATGCTGCCCTCAGTGTAATGAATTCAGCAAATCTTAACTGAGTTCCTATTGTGTGCTAGGCACTATGAATTCAGAGACAATCTGTGCTTTCAAGGACCTCAAGTCAACAGAAGAAGATAGGCAAACAATTGTATAGTCATATGTTGCTTAACAAAGGGGATATGTTCTGAGAAGTTCATCCTTAGGCAATTTTGTCATGTGAGCATCATAGAGTGAACACAAAACTAAATAGTATAGCCTACTACACACCTAGGCTATATGATGTAGCCTCTTGCTCCTAGGCTACAAGCCTGTACAGCATGTTACTGTACTGAATACTGTAGGCAGTTGTAACACAATGGTAGTTGTATATCTAAACATAGAAAAGGTATGGTAAAAATACAGCATAAAAGAAAAAAAAAAAAAAAAGGTGTATTTGTATAGGGCACTTACCATGGATGGAGCTTGTAGGACTGGAAGTTGCTCTGGGTGAGTCAGTGAGTGGTGAGTGATTGTGGAGACCTAGGACATTACTGTGTACGCTACTGTAGACTTTATAAACCCTGTACACTTAGACTGTACATTACATTTATTAAAAAACAAAGTAATTGTGCTATGACGTTATAACTGCTACAGTGTTACTGGGTGATAGGAATTTTTCAGCTCCATCATAATCTTATGGGACCACCATCATATGTGGTCCATTGTTGACTGAAACATCGTTACGTGACACATGACTGTCCTGTGTTTTTAAAGTTTGGCTGTTATTTTGAGTGAAAGAAGCCAGATATGAAAAAGCAGATACTGTCTCATTTGATTTATATGAAATTCAAGAATAGGCACAAGTAATATATGATAATAGAATTCAGAATAGTGATTATTTCTGGGAGGAGGATGTAGAGTGGGAATAGGCATGAAGGAATCTTTGGGGGTAATGACCGTAGTGTCTTTTGAAAGTGGCCATTTTTTTGAGTGAAAGAAGCCAGATATAAAAGAGCAGATACTATGTCATTCTATTTATGTGAAATTCAAGAACAAGCAAACTAATGTATGATAATAGAAGTCAGAACAGTGTAGTTATTTCTGGGAGGAGGATGTTGAGTAGGAATAGTCATGAGGTAATCTTTGGGGGTGATCTTGATAGTGAACACATGGGTGTGTAGATATATAAAAATCAAGTTGTACGCTTAAGATTTGTGCAAATTAAGTTATACCTCTCTATAAAAAATAAAAATAATGAGATTTCTAAAGACCCACCAAAAGAGATAAAAAGAAACTGAAAAATAAAAATGTCTGGCTCTCAGTGTTAGTGGAATGAAAGCTTTGTTGCTAATGATGTCATTGAAATTTTCTTTTTTTTTTTTTTAATTATACACCCAAGAATTTCCGAAAATAAGATAAAAGATTGCATAATATAGGAAGGTTATGTTTATACAGCATTCTACAATTCACATCTGTTATTTGCATTTATTGTTTAATCCTCAAAACAACTCTGGGCTTGAGTGGATCTGTTTTTTTCTGGTTGCAGTGTTTTTCAGACTAGACATGCTTTTGTGAGTCTGAACTGGTGTAAGGTATTTAACACCTTGAGAAAAAAATTATTTTGCTTACCTCAGAGAGTAATGTGGGATGGTATTTCCTTTAGGTAGTGAAATTGAGATATTAAGAATATAGCAGAAATGTACATGGACAAGCATAGGCAAGTCAGGTTTCTTCTCTGGACTGGAGTTTCTTCCTGTAAATTTAAGGAAGACAGGTTGTAAATTGAGGGCCTTTTACAAAACTCCAGAACTTTTGTGACTTTTGTTTTGTTTTGTTTTTTAGTTACTGATATATGAGACCTATAAATAGGCAACATCTGCACGATGTTCTTTCCTTGCTTACTTGACAGGTCTGTTAGTGCTAAAGGAAGAATGAAATATTTATTAAGCACCTATGCTGATGTCTCCACATTGCATAATTTTTAAAATATAAATGCCACACCAATATGATGAATTGGTAATACTGTAATTTTTGCTTGCTTTTATTTCTCCTTAAAGACCTGAAGATTATTCTTCTTTTGGACTTGGAATTCATAGTCTAATTATATGTCTATTCAAGTTAGAAATAGGTATTAACCAGTGGGCCTGAGTAGCTTTCTAGAACTTTGTAATCATGGAGACAGTCCCCAAATGTCCAGTGCCCTGAGGCTTGGGCATGTTTGCCCTTTAAGAATAGTACATCTAGTAGGATCAGGAGAGGATGGGGTTAGGAAGACAGATACCAGCTTTATAACAGAAGATAGTTAGGGGCAGGATAATCAGGCAGCGAAGAAATAACTGCCTATGCAAGTCATCCAATCCTTATTTGATAGCCAGTATGTTATAATCACAGTTTCCAGGAATGTAGCTAGGGTCCCAACTAGAGAATGATGGTTAGGGAGCTGGTGACCATAGTTTCTAGCTGCAAGGCATGCTTACACGTGACATTTCCCCCTGGATTGACCTGACTTCTCCAAGAATTATAATCTCAGGGCTTGCCTAGGAAGCAGTCTTGTAATAGAGCAGAATTTTAATTTTCTTCAAATTGCATCATATGTACCCAACATATGGCATGTATAGGTACAAATATGTTTTACAAATTACTTACCTATAAATACACAGGGTTTATGGTTACAAGCATAAAATGAGGGTTTTAGTTATTTTGAATGGATTTAGTTATTTTGAATGAATTATTACTTTACTAGCATTATTTCTGCATTTCTTTCCCCCTTCTCTGTCTGTATATATGAATGTGTGTATAATTACATACATATGTGTACACACGTGTCTAGTGGGGTCATTCTTACCTTGGGGGTGGGGCAGAGGTACCCTGAGATCTTCTGGGAACATATATGTTTGAAAGAGTATATTTCATATCATTTTATGTTTGAAAAATGAAAACTAAAAACCACTTTTATAATACAAACTACAGAAAACAAAATTTACATATCCTATTGATGGAATAAATGATTGAAAACCATTATTTTATTTTAAAGGGTCAAAGTGTATCCTATAATATTAGAGCGGGAAGGGTACTTTGAGATTAGATTATTCAGTGTGGGTCTTCAAGTTTTTATAGTTTTTTACTATTTATAGTTTTTTAATGGAAATTTTCACTAAAGATAGCATATATAAGTATACAACTCAATGAATTTTCAAAAAGTGAACACGCCCATGTAACCAGTACCCAGATTAAGAAAAAGAATATTACTGATACCCCAAAAGTTCATACTGCTTTTTGATAAATATATAAGACATGCTGGCTCACCCCCAAATACATTCTGAAATTCTCTCCAGGACCCCTTTCTCCTCACCTCTCACCCCCTAGTTGAAAATCATAGATCTAATCTTACCCCTTTTATAGATGAAGAGTTTGAAGCCAGAAGAAATTAGAGCCACTTGCCAAGGGTGATGGAGGCGAAGAGAGAAGCAAGCAGGAACAGGAAATTAATATATATTGAACATCCATTATATGTTATGCAATTGGCTAAGTACTTTACATGAACTAATCAATTTAAATTATCTTATATTCTCTTATGTCCACTTTACAAATGAGGAAAGTGAAGCTCAGAGAAGTTAAATAACTTTCTTAAGATCCTACCTAGTAGGTACTAGGTAGAAGTAGCAGGTTGGAATTAGGTCTCTTGGCCACTAGAGCCTACATTCTCTTTACTACCACTTAATGTCTTCTTAAGTATGAGAATGGATGATGCAGGGAGAGGATTATTTTTACTGCTGTTGTTTTTGACACTCACAGATTGTGTGTAGAACTACATTTGACAAATATCACTTCATTGAACACTATTTTTTTTCCCTCTTTCTCTGCCACCTTACTGTTCAGTGCTTCAGGCACCGTGTACACTGCAATGGATGTGGCCACAGGACAGGAGGTGAGTATCCACCACCCACTGTTGCCCTTTAGTTCTGTTTCTTTTTATTTGGGATTAATTTTTAGCCCTTGTTAGGTCAATAGGAACATTTCTAATATCTTTTTTTTTTTTTTTTTTAATTGAGATGGGGTTGACTCACTCTGTCATCCAGGCTGGAGTGCAGTGGCATGATCTCTGCTCACTGCAACCTCCGCCTCCTGGGTTCAAACAATTCTCCAGCCTCAGTCTCCTGAGTAGCTGGGATTACAGGCACCTGCCACCATACCTGGCTAATTTTTGTATTTTTTAGTGGAGATGGGGTTTCACCATGTTGGCCAGGCTGCTCTCAAACTCCTGACCTCAGGTGATCTTCCTGCCTCGGCCTCCCAAAGTGCTGGGATTACAGGCGTGAGCCACTGCGCCCAGCTGGACCATTTCTAGTTTCTTACTGTAGTATACAAGAGCCAAATAGCAGGCTAACATGATGAAACGTAAGATTTGGACTAAGGTGAAATAGTTAGATGGAGGGAAGTGGATGGATTTGAGAGATACTTAGCAGGTAGGTTCGACAGGATTAGATGATTGACTGAATGTGAACATTGTTTACAAGTGAGTGATATTATTCAAGGAGAAAGGAAAAAGAAATTGGATACTGCCTGATTGCCAAGTGGATAGTTGCTTATACAAGTCTGGGGCTTAGGGGAGAAATCTGATCTACAGGAGATTTAAACCATGTCTCTTGACTCCTAATCTACTGGTGCTACCTTTACTTTCCACTGAACAGTGAAATCCTCATTTATTTGGAGGCAGCTTTTTGTCCCTCTCATTTCATTAAGCCATGAGAACTATAGCTAAAGCCTGCTGACCCAAGGTCTTATATTCAGTAGAAGGAAGTTAAGAAGAGAATATAGAGTACTTGAGGTTTCCTTGCATTCTAATATTTGGTTGCAGAGTAGGAGTGTCAGCCAGTGAACTGGATGGCAGCTGCCCCAGAGAAGTTCTTTCTTCAGAGAGTACCGGGACATAGCAATTGAGAGAGGCACCTCCTCTTCCAATGAAAATAGAGTTGGGGTCCTGTAAGGGAGGCTGCTAGACACGTGCTTCTATATTTCTGGTGGTTGAAACCACGTGGCATCCTGGAGAAGTCATGGTTAATAGCGGTAGCATATATCTCACTAGGCTCTCGTGAGTTTTTCAAGTGTTAAAGCCAAATATTAAGGCTCCACCTAGGGTAAGCCAGGTTTTAAAAATCATTATTATGGTTAAGGATTTATTCATTGTTCTTTGACGTGAGAATGCAAAGAACTAGATGCTTATAAGCCTTTAGCTACTTATATAACCTTGGGCAAGTCATCTGACCTCTCTGAGCCTGAATTTTATATATTTATAAAATGTGCATGATAAAATGTCCACAAAAGTGTTGAAAGAATTCAGTAAAGCAATACATGTGAAAATGCATTATAAACTTTATGAACTACATATTCATATTTATTCATTTTTACTCATATGCATATGTATGTATTCCACAAAGCATTTGCTTTATGCCACACCTTATGCTAAGAATTCTGTGAAAGTTCACAGACATTAAAATCATGTGTAAATGTAAGAGACCGTAATTTCCTTTGTGTACATATAAAAGCCTTGTAATATTGACAGAAATCTGCCTTAAAGTAAAAATAATGGTGAGGAAGGAAGGATAGTATTATCATGACATTTTAATGATGGTGAATATGATGCAGAGATTAAAATAAAGAAGGTTATACCAATCCTGAAAAGAACTCTATGAGGTAGGTAATACTATTTTTTCTTTACTGCTGAGGAATTTGAGGCTCAGGGTGTATAAATAACTTTTTTGCAAAGTTGTACTGTCAGCGATTAGCAGGGACTGGTTTAGAATCTTCGACTCCTAATCCTGTGTGTTTTGGGCCGCAAGAGCACAACAGAGCTGAGGTTAGATACTAGAGTCCCTTGTCTTGTTTCTGGCCTCTCAGGCCTCACAGTCCTTGATGGGAGGCAGGTAGGTGATGATGGTGGTTTCTGGAAGGCCTGGAGGCTGGCTGTGTGAGAAGCTGGCCAGAGGAAAGAGAAATTTAAATTCATTGTATGCCTGCCTTGTGGTTACAAAACTATGAATGGAAGGGAGTCCATCAGGGTGGCTAATGCAGTGTGGTCAGGAAGGCTTCATTTCCTGCCCCAGGGAGAATAAATCTTTAGTGGAGTCAGCAGGATGCTCTCGGTCTTTGTGAGTGCGTGCTTATTGGGGGTTATCCAGCTGAGAAGGGCAGACCTATTGTCTCACATATAGGAAGAATGTTAGTGCTGGGAAGTCTTCCAGTTACAGATCAACAATTATTTTTCAAGCGAGTTTTTAGAGAGAATGTGTATAATAGAAAGAACAGACTGGAAGAGCCTTTGGAGTCACATGGACCTGTGGATATTGATTATGACCTTAGAATTTTCTTGAGTCTTCGCCTCAATTTTCTTACCTGAAAATGCAGATCATGATTCTTACTTTGCAGGGCTGTTAGGTTTGACTGTGATAATATAAGTAGGGCATGTAGCACAGAGCCTGGCACACAGTTGGTATTTGATAAATAGTAGTGGTGGGAGAGTGGTTGCTGTGCCAAGTACTTATTAAATGCTATTATTACTATGATTACCATTTTCATTATTGTCTAACTTTATTGCTTATTTACTTATATGTGAGTAATGCATTTGCCATTGTCTCACTTGGTATTCAAAACAATCTTGAGAAGAGGGGAATCAAGGTTGAGATTATCTTCAACGTATTGATGAAGAGACTGAGGCTCAGAGAGCTTGTGATTGGTCAAGGTCAGTAAGTGACAGGTCCTGAGCTTAAGTTCTTAGAGTTCAAGTCTAGTTCTTTTTCTGTTATAGGAATGCTATATCCTAGCCTATATAGGTGGGGTCTGATAGATGAAGGACACAGCCTAGCCCATAGTTAGTAGCTATTGAAAAGGGCTCCCAGCTGGGCACGATGGCTCACGCCTGTAATCCCAGCACTTTGGGAGGCCGAGGCGGGCAGATTATGAGGTCAGGAGTTTGAGACCAGCCTGGCCAACATGGTGAAACCCTGTTTCTACTAAAAATACCAAAAGTAGCCAGGCGTGATGGCGGATCCCTGTAATCCCAGCTACATGGGAGGCTGAGGCAGGAGAATCGCTTGAACCCGGGAGGCGGAGGTTGCTGTGAGCAGAGATTGCCATTGCACTCCAGCCAGGCAACAGAGCAAGACTCTGTCTCGAAAGGAAAAGAAAAAAGAAAAGGACTTCCATGTCCTGCCCCAGCCTGCATGTTAGCCTCTTTATGCCTCTCCTTCCTTGCTGCTGCCAGCAGTGACCACTGTGAGGTTCATAAGCAGTGTCCCATCCTCCAAGATGGCATGAGTAACTCAAAAGACATTCTTCCGGCTCCAGTCCTTAATGTGTGTTATAAGGGCTAACTATACTTAATATCTTTAGATCAACATGTTGCTTTTCAAACGTTAGGAAAAACTAATGCTCAGCTGTTATAGACAGCTGCCACCAGACTAGAAGCCTGACCTAACAGGAAACTCCACTCCAAAGCAATTTTTCCTTACTTGAGGTAGGGGATGGCGGTGGTCTGATTTTTTTTCGGAATTACTTCTATTCTTAATGATTAACTTGGTCTCTGCAAAAGACTGTCCATTCTTGACTTGAAGAAATAATAGAGTCAGAGATTTGTCACATAAAAGTTTGAATCATTCCTTCTTTATACTTCTTGCTGCTTCTAGAAAGACAACTTCGTTCTATTAGATGTTCGTGTTCTTGTCCACTAAGCAGAAAAAAGGCAAAATATCTCTAGAGAATGAACACTTAGAAAATAATTTAAAGTATACTTCTATGGGATAGAGGAGCCCATTGCCATTTTTTTGTTGTTTTTATTTAAAAACAAAGTACTGACCAACCTATTGACTTCTCTCTTGCCCTCTTTCTACAGACATTTCTTGAGCACCAACTCTTATGTGTGTAAAGGCCTGTGTTTGGCATTGGGGTTCTGGGCTTTCAGTCAAGCCCTCAAACTTCTTGATACACTACCCCTAACTAATCATTACACATGATAGCAAGTTGTAAGTTCCATAAAAGAGGGATAAATATGATCTTATAGGGCTTTAAAAAAGGGAAAAGGCATATTGGGTTTGGAGAATGAAGTTTCCTTTGGGCTGATACAAAGCGTAAGTAGCTTTTGAATGTATGGAAATGATACAGGCTGTTCCAGATGAAGAGAAGATTCTGAACAAAGGAAGGGGAACTAGATACCAGGGAGAACATGGAGTGTTCTCCATGAACACTCCTCTGTGAAGGAATAGAGTTGGAAGTAAAGTAGGGGCCAGATCATGAGAACTTTGAATGTTGTACTGAGAAACATTTCTAGGCAACCAGGAGCCATGTAAGTTTTTAAACAAGGTTATCAAATGTGTACTGTGGGGGAAAATTAATCTGGCTACATGTACAGGATAACTTGGCATCCCTTTTGAGGGTTCTAATCCTGATTTTGCTGTTGAATAGCTATGTATGCAAGTCACATCCTCTCTGAAACACAGTTTCCCCATCTGTTGAATCATTAGTAATATTTAGCACACAAGGTGTCTTTGCAGATTAAATGAAATAACAAATTTGAGAACACCTTATAATAGTACCTTACGTATAGAAGGAATTGATACCAAGTACCTTAGAAACTAAAGTATACCTTATATTCATGTTGTCTGGAAATTTGTTTTTATTTCTATAGATAGAGCTCTCATCCTCCTTTTCTATTCTTTCTTGACCTGGTCAACTCTGATTTATCTTTCTACACCAGGTTCAGAAAGTCACCTCTCCCTTTATGAAGTCCCTATACTTGGCCAGATTGAAAGAGTTCTTGGCTTTTGCCGTATTCTGTGTTTTGCTAGCATTTTATATGAACCTCTGTTATAGCATCTCTTTTCTGTTGTGACTTTTTAAAAGTATTTTTCTACACCAAAGTTTGATTCTGAAACTTTGGTGTGTATCACAGTGACCTGGAGGACTTATTACATCACATAGTTTCTGATTTAGTAGATTTGGGGTGGGACCCCAGGTTTTTATTTCCAGCAAGCTCCCAGATGATGATAATGCTGGCTTGAGACCTCACTTTGAAGACCACTGGTCTACATAGACAAATTGTGAATTACTCGAGGGCTAAGACTGTATCTTACTCATCTTTGTTTCCTGAGTACTTAAGGTCTGGTACTTAGTAGGTGCTTAATAAATGGGAATGACTATGGTTGCACATTGAATATACTCTGATTTCAGGTGGCCATTAAGCAGATGAATCTTCAGCAGCAGCCCAAGAAAGAGCTGATTATTAATGAGATCCTGGTCATGAGGGAAAACAAGAACCCAAACATTGTGAATTACTTGGACAGGTATGGAGTGGTGGGTCCCATCAGAAGGATAGGGCCTTTGGGACTGACTGGTGGACTGTCAGAGAAGAGGGTGGTGCCAGCACTCAGAACTGCCTCCATTTAAGAGTCTTCTGTGATGCTGAGCTCTCTGTAGGTGACCCTGTGTAATGCTGGACACCTTTATTGCTGGGAAATCCTTCTGTATTAGGCTGAACTCTACCACCATGTAGCTTGTAACAGTTGATCCTATTACTGTTTGTTTTGCCTAAGGGAAACCTACCAGCCCATCTGCCTGAGTCAAACATCTAGGTCCTTAACTCATTTTATATCCCAAATCTTTCCTTATTCTGCTCATCCTCCTGAATAACTGCTTGTTTGTTTATGTTCTCTTAAAATGCAACGTGCAGAACTAGATGTTTCATTTGAGATCTGACCACTACAGAGAGAGTGGGACTCTTTCTAAACTCAACACAGCTTAATGATTTCATTCTTGTTTTATCTTTTAGGATGTGTGCTTTGACTCCTAGTAAGTTTGCAGTCAACTAAAATTTCTGATTTTTTTTTTTACATAGCTTGCATTAAACTGGAAATATAGAACTTTTTCACTATCTTCATTAAGTCCCATTTTTATTGTTTTAGCCCATCATTCCAGCTCATCAAAATTGTTTTTCAAAATAGTAAGAGTGGTTGTATATAATATTTGTATTGTGCTTTATTTTGTACTAAGCACTTTCACGAACAGTATCTCATTGTGAGGTAGGGTTTTTTATCCATATTTTACAGACGAGGAAACTGAGGTTTATAGATGTTAATAACTTGTCCAAGAGTAGTAAGCCATAAAACAGCAAAGCAGTGTTTTGAATTTGAATATTCCTAGCACCAATATCAATGCCCTTTCTATTATATCAGGTTCTTTTCTCCGATACCTGAACAAAAAAAAAAAGTTAAGCTTCTTGCCCAGGGTTCAGAGACATCATAGGTGGAGGTGAAATTGGACTATATCTTGGGCTCTAATTTCTTTACCTTTTATATTGCATGACCAGCTACCTCTTCCTGTTACTGGTAGATTTCATAAGGGTGCCTTCTTATTCTGCATCTAAAACACTAGTAAGCTTCAGTTTCCTTAAAAAGGAAAAGAGTTGAACTTTGACATTCCCAACACTGTAAAGAATAAAGCCTTTTTCTTTGAGATGGTTATGTCTCCTTAATGTGGGTCCTGACTGGCTCTGAAGAATCCTCTGAAAGTTAGTACCTTATCATCTCTTTCAGAACTTATTATACAGAGAATATAGCTCGTGCAAACTACTGAAGGCGACAGGGGTTTTAGATTTTGGCTCAGGATATGGAAAAATGAAAGCTGTCAGTAAGGGTATGGCCTGTCTCACAAAATGGTGAGTTACCCATCAGTGGATGCATCTAAATGATAAGACCATGTTATTGAAGGAATTTGTGTTCTGGGAGTAGGATTAAGAGACTTATAGATTTGTTTATTAATCATACCTTTACTGGTATTCCCAGAGGCTTTTACTCTGGAAATCAGAAGTAAATAATGCTATCTTTGCCCTCAAATAGTTCCTGGTCTGGTATAGAAAAAAGTACACTCTGTAAAATCATAGAAGAGGATCTTAACCTGAGCATTCAGTGAAGGTGTTACACATGAGGGTCTGTGGTTTTTGTGAGATGTCCCAGGGGGAACTCCATCACATATGGATGAACTCATGGGCAGAACCCTCATGATGTAATCACCTTCCAAAGGCCCCACCTCCTAATAACATTAGTGATTAGATTTTCAACATATAACTTGTGAGGAACACAAACATTCAGACCATAGCAGTTCAAATCCCCATAGTCTTCTCTCTCAAAAGAGATTGTTGAAGAAACACTTAGTCTGTCATGTTTATTTGTCATGGACATTTAAAAATTACAAATCAGAACACAAAGTTTTATGGAAAGAGCAGTCGATTAGTAGTCAAAAAAATAGGATTCAAATCTTACCCTTTGCTTGAGTGCATTTGTTAAAATCTTCCAACAGTCTCCACATCTGTCCAGCAGTGTTCCCAATATCAGGATGAAGATAAGATGATACCACACAGTTCAAGCCAGTGCAAGGAATGTTTTTTTCCCAATCCAGCATCTATGTCCAAGACTGGCAGAAGACTTTAGGGCTCTAGGCTCACCTTGTTTTTATTTGTCCGATTCTATAGTAAGGAAACATTGACCAGATAGGCTAAGTGACCTTTTTATTTATCATGTAATAGGGTTGAGTGATCCAACCTCTGAGTGAAGCCATCACTTCTAACTCGTGTGAGCCCGCAATCTCTCCGGGGATACCTTACTAAATGGTAGCCTTGGCTTATCAGACGGCTTTGGCTCTGTAAGCCGTTGCTAAATTCATTCCATTCTTGAATCACAGACACTCAAAGTAGAGGTCAATTGTCAGCATAATGACTATGTATACAACACTTTGCAGCTTTTAAGGGACTCATAAACATTATTTCATTTAATATTTTTAGTTATCTTTTATTTCATTCATTGATTTATTTAGTAAATATTGGCATTTGCTGTGCTGGACTCTGGGGATAGAGTCTTAAACAAGACCCAATACTTGGCCTCATAGATCTCAGATCTGGTAGGACTCTCTGGGAGGGTTAGTAGCTCTCTCTTCTTTGGGTAACATGGACTGTAAATCCTATCATTGTAAAATGTTTGGATGCTTCTAGAGGGAATCATGTCAGTCTTTCTAATTTTAGAATGTCTTCCTTTGTGTTGTGATGAAATGCAATTTTATTGTATCACTTTAAGCTAGTGATCTTAGTTCTGCCCTTTGGGGTTTCACAGAACATGTATGCTTGGTTTTCTCCAGGAGCATCCTTGAGAAATTCAAAGTTAGTGATTTTGTCCCCCAGATTCTGCTTTTCCCCAAAGTAAAGAATCTTTTACTTTACTTTGTGCTAAGACGTAGTTTCACTCTGTGTATATGCTTAGCCTTTGAAACCCAGTGCCATGGCTCAGAGTACTCTGATTGTTCCCTCTCACCCTTTATCTGTATTCCTGCAGTTACCTCGTGGGAGATGAGCTATGGGTTGTTATGGAATACTTGGCTGGAGGCTCCTTGACAGACGTGGTGACAGAAACATGCATGGATGAAGGCCAGATTGCAGCTGTGTGCCGTGAGGTAAGGCCAAGGGCCAAGCAGTCTTGGGTAGAAAGCTGCCTCCGTATTCCTGTCTCCTGAAGTTCCCTACCCAGTGAGATCTCAGTCTGGGCTCTGTGAAATTGGTAGAAATTAGTGCTGACACTCCTATCATTCCTGTATTGTACCTGTGTTTGTCATTTCTATCACCATGATTTTTTTTTCTTTAAAGATAACTTTATTCTACCCAATGTAGAAAAATTATAAAGTACTAGATAGTATATATTGTAAAAAGTCACTCGTAATTCCAGTCTTAAAGATAACCACTCTAAGCACATTATTATATATTCCTTTATCTCTTTTATCTGGGCATATATTTTAATCATTTTTATTCTGCTTTCTTGCTTTATTTTTGTGCTATAAGGAAAATAAAGCAGAGTAAGAAGGTAGTGATGGAGGAAGTTCTATTTTAGACGGAATACTCAGGGAAGGTTTTGCTATGGATTTGAGTAAACATCTGAATGATATATAAAAGCAAGCCAGCAAAAATCTAGGGTAAAATACTTCCAGGAAAAAAAAAAAAAAGGTCAAATAGATATTCCCTTTCTCCTCATTGCGATTAAATGTCTAGAATCGATAATATGCTGATGTAAGAGGAAAAAAAGCCCTCCAGAAGGCCTGGACAGTGTCCTCAGGGAATAACCACATTTCATTTCCATTAGAGCAAGAAGATGAAGGGAATATTCAGAGACATTGAGGATATTGGGTGTTTTGCTGATGACAGACTGGAACTTTCTGGTGGCCCAATAATGCAAAAGTAATTGCAGTTTTTGCCATTACTTAAAAAAAATGCCAAAAACCACAATTGCTTTTGCACCAACATAATAGAAAAGTTAGGAAATTAGAGGAAGCATAGAAGATGAGATGAGGTTCAGAATTTTGTGGGGATGAGTATAATAGTGTGATTGCGGCTTGATGGTGCAAGATCTGAAGGCATACTGCTGAAATTATGTAGTTACATATTTAATCAGTGTTAAGAAAAATAAAATGTGAAATCAATACTGCCCTAGAAAATATGGTCCCCTTTGCAAACAACTTTGGGATCTAGAATATTCACAAGTAATTGGAATTAATTAATGGAATTAATACCAGGCTGGGATTCTTAGGGGTTCTGACTTTTTTTCCTTGTTCCACTACTAATGCAGTACTTCTTAACCTTCTTTTCATTGTCTCCTTCTTAAGGAACCTTTTTCCTAATCATACTCCTTGCCATGAAATTTTAATATCACAGATACATAGGTAAACTGTTTACATACTATGGCCCTTTGGAGGGTCATAAACCATTGTAATACCTAAGATTTTTTTCACCACACCTGCTTACCCTCAGGAACCAAGTTTCACTAGTGGAGAATACATACATACGTATACTTTGGGAAATCATTTTGCCTCATTATTAATCTATAAAATGGAAATTGCAACATTCACACTGTATATACCTTAGGGGTGCTATATGGATGAAAAAGCACTTGGAAAAAAATGTTAATGTTGTATAATAGATGGTATTACTATTCTTCAGTTCTAATAGAGATCATCTCCTTTTTAAAACATCTTTACTGAGATATAATTCACCCATTTAGAGTATATAATTCACTAGCTTTTAGTATGTTCATAGAGTTGTACAACCACCATCATAATGAATTTTAGATCCTTTTTATCACTCCAAAGAGGAAATTAATATCCATTAACAGTCAATCCCCATGTCCCCTGCCCTGACTCTCCCAGCCCTATGTAACCGCTAATCTATTTTCTACCTCTGTAGTTTCCCTGTACTGGGCATTTTATATAAATGGAATCATGTAATATTTGTTCTTTTGTAATTGGCTTCTTTTACTTAGCTAGCATTGTGTTTCAAAGAATCATCCATTTTGTAGCATGTATCAGTACCTCATTCCTTTTTATTGCCAAGTAATAGAATGGACATTTGAGTTCTTTCTGTTTTCGGCTGTTATAAAAAATAAAAAATTACTCTGTGAACACTTATATACCAGTTTTTGTGTGGAGGTGTGTTCTCATTCTCGTGGGTATATAACTACAGGTGGATTGCTGGTCATATGACAACTCTGTACTCAACTTTTGAGGAACTGCCAAACCATTTCTGTAGTAGCCGTACTGTTTTACACTCCTGCCAGCAATGTATGAGGTTCCAATTTCTCAAGATCATTCTTTTTCATCATAATTTCTGACATCCTGAGATGTCTCCACCCTTGTAAGAAGAGCAGCTCTTACATTTTCAGGGAAAACCCAATTCTGGATATTGTTTTATTCTTAATTTAGCCATTGGTATATTCTTAGAAAGTAAAGTATTAGGTTAGGACCATTTAAATAGTATTTTCCTGTTCACTTATATCTTTAGTGTTTTTTAATTGGTAGAAGTTTCTAAAAAATTAGTTTTGGGTCAATGAAAGCAAATTATTGATTTAGTAGAAAAGCTGAGATGATCTCATCTAATTCCCACATTTTATAGATGGGAGTCCAGAATTATATAGTTCGTGGGGTAGCAGCAGAACCAGGCATTTTAATTGTACCATCGTGTCTCTTTGTTACTCATTCTGCCTGTGTACCATAGGTGTTTTCCAAGGTTCTTCTCTTTCTCTTATACCCTTTGCCAGGTTCAACCATTTCTGTAACTTAAACAAAAATCATCTCTTCCCAAATGACTTGTAAATATTTACCTCTGTATGGAAACTAAGAGTTATAAATTCAGTTGCCTACTGGACATTTGTCTTCAGATGTCAAATTCAGCATATCCAAAATAGTACAAAATATCTCCTCACCAAAATAAGATTATCCTGCTAACTTACTGCTTCTAGTATCACTTCCATATGTCTGCTTCCTCAAATATGACCCTTATTTGTTGTTTTCCTCCAGTCTGTCATTATAAGATCCTTTCCATTTTTCTTCAGTAATTTCTCTTGGGCCTTAGGTTCTTTACCAAGGATCTAATTAAAAAAAAAAAAAAAAACCATTGGAGGAACTCCTTTACTTAAAAAACTATTTTAAGGTGAAAGGCAGCATGGAGTGTTAAAAGAATGTTTAGCTGGGAGATGGAAGACTTGGTTCTAGATCTGGCTCTGCGAGTGATTTGGGGCAAGTCCTTTTACTCGTTGGGGCCTTACTTCCTTTATTTTAAAGTGAAGAGGTTGAATTAGTTGATTTTCTATTAAGTCTTCTGTATTATATGTATGTCCTTTCTTTCTCCCCCTGCCCACACCACTTCAATAGTGTCTGCAGGCTCTGGAGTTTTTGCATTCGAACCAGGTCATTCACAGAGACATCAAGAGTGACAATATTCTGTTGGGAATGGATGGCTCTGTCAAGCTAAGTAAGTAGGAGCCTTAGGAATGATAATACTTCTCTCCCCGTGGGGCCCTGTCTCCTGTGAGATGGTCATCATATAATAGTAACTACGACACTCACCAAAGGGTCTTTATTATTTCATGGGATATGAGGGCTGTTTAATATTCTTCTATATTAATCATAGGATATCATTTCATTATTTTTTCATTCATGTATACATTTAACAACAACCACAAAAAACTTGGCTGAATGCTTACTCTGTGCTAGGTCCTGTGATGGGCACTGAGAGTACATTTTCCCTACCTTCTCAATCTAGTATGGAAAACATTTAATAGATAATTAGAAAAAAGGGTTTTGCGTAACTTCTTTCATTCAGTTATTCAGCAAACTTTTATTGAATGTCTAGTACATGCCAGTCCTTCTAGGGATATGAGGACAAGTAAGAAGATATAATCCGTACTCTCAAAGACTTCCTAATTTAAATAAATTTATAATTGCAATATAATGTGAAAACCACGGCAGGTAGAACATTTTGTTCAAAGGTGTAAAGACCAGTAGACCAGAAAAACAGGCTATGTTATGGGTGGATGGGCAGTTTATGGAAGGACTGCTAGCAGCCCTGGGCCTGGGGCATAAAAACAGGGCCATGCTTAGTCATAGGTGACTGGGGTTTAAATCAAGGACTCGTGCCCAAGAAATAAGGCAAGGACCTCGTTGCCATATTTGAGAATATGAGAATGGTTTTTCAAGAACAAAGCAAAACTGGGACAAGCAATCAAGACCAAAATGGGCAGCTTGGACTTTAACACTAAGTCCCCTGGTTTAAGGAGAGATAGGAGGCCAGAGATGGTGTTTCTTATATTCCTCCTATTTCTCTTCAGGGTTCAATAGGAAATAGGCTAGGAGCTAGACATGAAGGTGGCAGTCAAGTGACTTTGGAGAGACAGAGCTGGAAGCCAGGCAGATCTTGTCACCTACGTGTAGGCACACAGTCAACACTTACTGAAGTGAGTGTATATCCTAAATGTATGTTCTTTCTCTTATTTTTCTTTTCTAGCTGATTTTGGATTCTGTGCACAGATAACCCCAGAGCAGAGCAAACGGAGCACCATGGTGGGAACCCCATACTGGATGGCACCAGAGGTTGTGACACGAAAGGCCTATGGGCCCAAGGTTGACATCTGGTCCCTGGGCATCATGGCCATCGAAATGATTGAAGGGGAGCCTCCATACCTCAATGAAAACCCTCTGAGAGTGAGTGTTACAATTCCTATTTCAATTTATTTGGGCTGTTGTCTCTAGTCCCAGGAAATAAGAATCCAGGCTATTCTCTATGGCTTTCAACCTGGAGATCCCTTTTCTGGATACAACTAGTCACTGTTGAACTTAAAATATAAATGGTCAAAGAAAAGGAATATTAGAAGTCACTCATTCATTTATTCAACAACTATCTGAGTCCCTTTCAAGTGCAAGAAACTATTCTAATGAAAATAAAATAAATTAATATGTAGTAACAGATGGTAAATGCTGTGAGAAAAAGCAAAGTAAGGAAGTTAAGAGAGTAATGGAGGAAGAGGTGTGCTATTTTAGAGCAGAGAGGGAAGTTCTCTCTCGTAAGTTATTTTATTCTGCAGAGTTGGGAAGTCATTAGAGGGTTTTGAGCTGAGGAGTAATGTGATCTGATTTATGTTTTAAACAGATCATTTTGGCCGTTTTTATGGAAAATAGACTGCGAGAGACTGTTGAAATAGTTCAGAGTGGTGGTGTCTTGGTAGGAGTGGAAGTGAGAAGTGGTCAGACTCAGGAAATGTCTTGAAGGACTAGCTGACAGGATGAACTGAATATTAGAGAAAGAGGAATCAGCAATTACTACATGATTTCTGGTCTGAACTGCTGAAAAAATTCAGTTGCCATCTGTTGAAATGGTGAAGACCATACTTAAGTTGGGTAATTAAGAGTTGGTTTTGAATGTGCTGATTTGAAGTGTTAATTAGACATTTAAGTGGAGCTGGGAGTAGAGTTTGGCTTAAGAGTCTGGAGTTCAAGGGTGAGGGGTCAGGACAATAAACATAAATTTATTAGTAGATAATATATAGTTGGTATTTAAAATCAGAGGTAGATGAGATCACTCACCTAGAGAATGAGTACTGTTAAAGAAAAGAGATTTGAGTACTGAGCTCTAGGTTATTCCACTGTTTACAGGTTGGAGGAACTAGCAAAGTAGACCAAGGAGTGGCCTTTCTAGTGTGAGAGAACAGAGAAGTGTCTTGGAGGTGAAGTGTCCTGGAGATGAATAGAACAGTGTGCTTCCCGAAGGAGGAGGAGGGTAGATTATGTGTCAAATGTGATTGATAGGTTAAGATGAAACTGAGAAATGAACATTGGGTTTGCCAATGTAGAGGTTCTTAATGACCTTAACAATCAGTTGTCAGTAGAGAGATGGGGATGAAAGTCTAATTAAATTCATGAAAGTGGAAGAAGAGGACGTTGAGATGGCATGTATAAACAGGTTTTTTTTCTCTTAAAGGAATTTTGCTGGGAAGGGTAACAAAAATGGAACACTATCTTAAAATGGAGTCAAGGGAGGGTTTTTCTAAAAGATTATGTCTGTGTGCTAATGGGAATGATTTAGTGGAGAGGAGGAAAATGGTCATGTACAAAAAGGAAGTGACAACTATAGAAGTGATATCCTTAAGTCGATGAGAGGGGTTCGATCAAGTACTGAAGTAAAGGACATTAGATTAGCATGGACAATTTATCCCTTGTAACAGAGCATATCAACACAGATGCAAATAGGTTGGTAATCTTGGTGTGGGCAAATGTGAAATTTATTCTGATTGCTTTTATTTTCTCATTTATTCCCACCTCCCATCTAGTGCAGGAGTTCCCTGTGCACTGTTGCTGGTAGGTGGTCATCTACATGCTCATGTCATCCTTGGATATCTCAGATTATTGGAAATTGCTTCAGTGCACCAAACTGAAACTACCTTCTGTAGTTTCTATCCTTTGGTCCCAGCTTTGCCTCTGACTCCACATGCAACATATTCTTCCCTGCCTTAGAATGGCCTTGCAGAGATTTGAAGATAATAATTGCCGGGATATGTTGGAAACAAGACAGAGTGATCCTAGAAACACACACACACACATTCTTTTTTTTGAGACAGAGTCTCACTCTGTCACCCAGGCTAGAGTGCAATGGTGTGATCTCAGCTCACTGCAACTTCCACCTTCCAGGCTCAAGCGATTATCCTGCCTCAGTCTCCTGAGTAGCTGGGATTACAGGCATCTTCCACCATGCCCAGCTAAGTTTTGTACTTTTAGTAGAGACCAGATTTCGCCATATTGATCAGGTTGGTCTTGATGGTCTCGAACTCCTGACCTCAGGTGATCCACCCACCTCAGCCTCCCAAAGTGCTGGGATTACAGGAGTGAGCCACCACACCCGGCCCTAGACATATCTTTTTATGTTTCTGTACCTTATTTGTGAAGTGAGGATGATAATTCTTGCCCAGAGTTAATTGTGGCCATTAAATTAGACAGTGCTTATGTAAGTACTCTTTGAATTAAGTGCTGACTGATTGTAAAGATTTGGTCTTACTGTGTTTTTCTTTACCTTTCCCAGGAGATGCTTCATTTAGGGGACCAAGGTGGCAACAGTTTTCACTTATATTTAATATTCCTTTCCTGCTAGAAGAGATCAGTTCTTGGATGACTGAGGTGAAGGCACCAGGAATAATTTCTGCCAGTAGCTGGGCAGATGTTTCAACAGGCTAAATGGATAATAAACCCTTCAGATGTGTAAGCAAGAATAATAATAAAGCCGGGCATAGTGGCTCACATCTGTAATCCCAGTACTTTGGGAGGTTGAGGCAGGCGGATCACTTGAGTCTAGGAGTTCGAGACCAGCCTGGCCAACATGGTGAAACCCTGTCTCTACTAAAAATACACAAAGTAGCCGAGTGTAGTGGTGGGCACCTGTAATCCCAGCTACTTGCGAGGCTGAGGCAGGAGAATCGCTTGAAGCCAGGAGGTGGAGGTTGCAGTGAGCCAAGATCTTGCCACTACACTCCAGCCTGGGCGACAGAGCGAGACTCTGTCTCAAAAAAAAAAAAATAAAAATAATAATAATAATAATAAACCCTTAGGTCTGTAACATATTTCGTAAGTTTATAAAGTACTTTCAAATACACTATCTTATTTTTACAGATATGTGAGATGGGCATTATCATCATCCTTACTTTACAGATAGGGAAGTTGCACATAGTCTCATGGCCTTTAAATGTTCAGCCTGATCCTTAGGTCATACTCTTTCCAGTATATATACACAGCTGCTACTTTGCATCCTAGAGCATAAAGCAGCTGACCATATTTCTAGAATGTGTATATGGAGAACAAGAGAGAGCCTCAGTTGGAGTTCAAGGTGATTCACCATTTTTATTGCCAGGCCTTGTACCTCATTGCCACCAATGGGACCCCAGAACTTCAGAACCCAGAGAAGCTGTCAGCTATCTTCCGGGACTTTCTGAACCGCTGTCTTGAGATGGATGTGGAGAAGAGAGGTTCAGCTAAAGAGCTGCTGCAGGTAACTGTCCCTGTGCAGGGAAGCACCTAATTCAGGGAATCACTAAACCAGGCCTTTTTTACTTCATGTTTGTTTGTAAGGTACTGGATATTATAGAACTAGGCTTCTCTTTTACCATTTCCTACCCTCACTCTGTTCCTACTGCTCTAACTTTTATCCCTGGGGCTTTGCTTATTTATTTTCTTAGCCTCTTTCTCGGCCTGTTAAAACTCTACACGTTCTCCTAGGCTCAGTTTACAATCATTTTCTGAGCACCTATTGAGCTTTGCTTGTAGCTTTCTTGGTTCCTTCCTTCCTTCCTTCCTTCCTTCCTTCCTTCCTTCCTTCCTTCCTTCCTTCCTTCC